TATTCAGTCTTATGGTCGCGATAGTGGAGGACATGTGTCGATCGGTCNTTCTTTATGAGATCTAAACGAAATTAAATTTTTATTTGAAAATTTGTGATTCAATACTACATTAAATTTAAAGTAAAATACAATCATTTTTTTGCAAATTTTCAAAATGTATTTATTCAGAGATTTTATAAAAAATTTTGTGAAAAAAGCATTTCAATTACAAAAATTTTAGGAGTATTTTTTTGGTGGCAAACAAACAATTTATACATATAAACAATTTGTGAGCAATTTTTTGGTCTCAAATATGTTTAAAGAGGTGCTCGAGTGGTGTGCTGTCGTCGACTGTCACCATCCGATTACCAATAGCTGCGACCATAACCGCCATAACTCCCGTATCCGAGTCCGTAACCGCCATAACCACTGCTATAACCGCCATAATAAGGCGATGAATAGCCCAGAGATCGTCCGTAGCCGTAGCCGCCATACGACGGGCTATAATAGCCGCTGCCGTATCCGTAACCGCGTCCATAACCACCCCAACTGTTGCCATAGCCGTAACCGTACGGCGAGGTTATAATTGTGCCGTAAACAGCGGCCAACACTCCAACAAATACCATGCACAACTAAATTTAATAAATATAATTACATTTAATGTCATATTTTTAAATGTTGACTAGATCAAAAATTAATAAAGTATTTATAATAGAATGAAATAGCGTTTAGAAAATACAAACATTAATAAAGAGAAAAGTTTTTTTTTCAAAATATCCAATTCTTACCAAAAGTTTCATTTTTGTAGGGTTTTTGTAAAGCTTTGAAAGACTTTATAAAATAATGAAATTAAAGCGTTTTGTGATTTTTATAGTGATTTAGTGGTCCTTTTTATAGCCAAATACAGATCCGATGCCAACCTTGAGATCACCAAATATTTGATTTTTTTGTTCAAAAACTAATCACAATGTCCTGAACCTATCATTTCACTTATAACATAACCTCCTGTAATGTTAATGCCCAAAACGAAACCGGTGTTTTAGGAATCAACTAAAACTAAAAATAGCCTAGATGTTATGCCTCTTATGTATTATATGTGCATGATAACGATCAAGATGATATGTCAGCATTGCATGACATGTCTCCAAATAATTGCCCCTCTAATGTATTTTGGATTTAAAATCAAACAAAAAAGTTCATTTTATAATACACTCAGATTAGGGGGATTTGCTATTATCTTATATAAATTGAAAGCAATTAAACAAAGTACTGTATTACATTTTATTATTAGATTATTATAAATAAATCATTAAATTAATTATTAGTTAATATATTAAAAATGGGAATTGATTTATAAAACTATTGTTTTGACAGAAAATATCGATCCTTTATTTTGAAACCCTTCCTCGTGAGCATATCTTTAGTTTTCTCATTGAATTCCTCTACATATCTGGCATTTCGTGGCTATTCTACGGCTCTCTTTGATTGTCTCACTGTCTTCGACGGTCTGGTGTCGGTTGTCTTCTTCACAGTATATGAAAACAATATTTGTCACAAGTTTTCTGTCAAATTGTTTCAACGGTTCTTTTAGTGGTCTATGTTTTAAATTTTGTTGATTTTATTTGATTTAACTTTTGTTGGATTTATTTTTTTTTGAAATAATTGTAAAATAATTGCATTTTTATAAAATGATTTTATTTGTAAACATTTTAAATTTAGTTATTTTTTACACAATTTTTATTGCTATAGAAATCAATGCAACCGAACATTATTTAGATAAATGTTAGATAAAAATTTAGTTTAAATGTAAAAAACTTTTAATAACTAACAATTGTTTATACAATTTTCACATTTATTTATTTAAATTGCATTTATTTGGTTAATATGTTTTGTTAATACAGGACTCTATATCCGCCTAAACCATAGCCTGTAATATAGTTTAATCGATGGCCATATCGGTAGTTATGGGCCAAACCATAGTTGGGTGCGATATAACTATTATAGAGGCCATAAGTAACGGGTTTCACGTAATCGAGACCAACAAATCTATGGCCATAGTTATAGTGAATACCCGACCGCCAGCCCCACGGATTGTAGGGATAATTAGGGACCGCATCGTTGACCACTATAGCCGCGCATACGGTGGCCAACAGTCCCGCAAATACTATACACGACTAAATCAATGAGAAAAACATTGTTTTAATTGCGAGTAAATTTTAACTTTAATTAAAACTTACCGTAAGTTTCATTGTAGTTTAAAAGTAGAGGGTTTTTAAAGTTTTGAATTAAATTATATGAATTAGACATTGTATTAAATCAAACCGTTTTATATAGTAAAAACGACTCTACATTTAAACAACCTTGACATTTTAAAAATTAAGAAATTCTGCCCTCTCTCCTACCTTTCCCCTCCACTACCATACCCTCCCTGACCGTGAAAATTATTTTCAATGTTAATTCATCTATTGAGTGGAGAGAGAGAGAGAGAGAGTGAGAGAGAGAGAGAGAGAGAGAGAGAGATTAGAGCTATTTTTGTTTTGTGTGTATATTTATAATTGATGGTCAGGTAGGAAAACATCGATCCTAACCTAAACACCCATCCCATCCCCATCTCAAGCCCTAATGTCGATGCCGTCATTGGAGTCCTTGTGCTCTCACTCACTCACTGTGAGAGTAATAGACTTTCTTTTCTAACATTTAGTTAATTATATTTGCAATAAGTTATCAAAAATTACAATCTGTTTTTCAATATACCTTTTATGCTGTTTTATCAGCTATTGATTTGCAATACAATTGGTTTGCCTTTAAGGGAGGCATACATTCGCACAGATTTTATCATTTCAATTGACATTAGAGGACAGGGATGTGCTGACTGGCCTGTGGGCAGTGGGGTTTAGTCTCCTGACTATTTATTAATAATAAATATTATTGTCTATAGTATACAGTATTTTGAAGTTTTTAATATATTTTGTATTTATTTAATATTTTTAATTAAAGTGTTTATGTTTTCAATTTGTATTTATTTACAAAAAATGTCATAATATTTAAATTCATTACTCGATAATACGGTTCAATATATTTTTATCAAATAATTTATTTATATATCAATGATTTGTTATGAAATAAGTAAATTTCAAAATTGTATAATTTCTACATAGTTCTTAATAGTGACAAATGTCCTAATATTTCATGTGAATGTGCTGAGCAGGGAAATAACCAAGCAAACAAAAAACCATTGTTATAAATTATGATACATAATTATATTAAATAAATGTGTTATAATACAAAGCAAATAGTTAAAACATCAATACATAGCTAAATATATAGTATTCTTAACAAAGTGGGTAATTATGTACATTTCGAAAACTCAAGGTCCTTCTTTATTCTGGTTTTCAGCTCAATATTTGCTATTAATATATATTTTATGTAGTTTTCAAATAACTTAATATATTTAGCTTATTATCAATACAGCTATAGTTATATGGGATGATATGTTGGAGAAAATATTTTTTTAAATACAAAATACAAATTTTTACACAATCAATGGCTGAATGTTAATGACGTTAACTAACGCACAATCTATTGAAGATTTACATTGAAAATAAATTGGATTAAATGATGGTTAAAATAAAGGAAACTCTTGTTTATCAAATTGTCAATAAAAATCCTTAACATACAAAATAATGGTCTGTTTGTGTTAAACGACAAATTGATTTAATTGGAAAACAATTTAAATAAAAGTATATTTAATATATTTCATGACATAACCATTGGTTAAATAAAAGAGATAAATATTTTTCAAACAAATTTTCCATCATTTTAAATACAATGATATAAAATGTTTTAATTATTTTATTGACATTTTTAGTTTTACGTAAACTAAACTAGGAAAACAATCCTAATAATTTATCATCTTAATTTGTATTTAATTAGATTTGTTTTTAGCAACGTTTGTAATAATTATTTAATTAGTTTGTAGACAATATCTTAATTACATTTTAAAGAAATTTAATACTATTTTTACTTTCCAATAAACTTAAACATTAAATAACATACAAGTAAATCAAGTTTTTATTCAATTTTAATTATTTATAAATTTTATTTAATTAAATAACTCAAAATAATTTTCATAACAGTAATATAAACTACTGCTATCATCAAATCGATAATATTAATAATAAATACTTATATTTATTATTGCTTTCTATCCGGATAATAATACGTTTTTGTCATAGATTTTTTAAAATTTTGTGATTTATACAATTGTTAACATAAATGTTACATAAATATAACATAGAAACAACAAAAAACAGTTGAATTAATTTTTATAATTGAGGAAAAAATGTATTTTATAATTTCTATTATAAAAATAGTTGATAATTTTAAATTGTTATAAATCCTCGTCTCTTATACTGGCTTTGAAAAGTGTTTTAAGAAAATACAAAATGATTTCATCCAAACTTTTAAACAATTATAAAGTTTTATTAGTACATAACGCCAAATATGTATCCAAAGCATCACAACAGGTAATAAATTAATGTTTTAATTTATATATTTGACGCCTATTTATATAACTTTTATTTAATTAATTTGTTTGTATTGTAGTTAAAAAGTAGTTTAAAACTTGAATTGTATAAACTTAGGATTTTTAGTATTTTTAATTATAAAATATAGACTAGGTTAGTGTACCCAATGGATAGAGAGTTGAGATGTTATGTGAAGTATTGTATATATGACTAAATACTGCTCAAACCTTTTAATGGTATTTAAATTCCAGACAAAATAATTGTTTTAATAAAATAAAAAGTACAATATACAAATTTTAAGTAATTTTAGGGACAATTATTATATATCATTTAAACGAATGGTGCTTTTAATTTTATAATTAATACATTGACTAAAACAAAACAAAAATTAATATCAAATTTTATCCAATTGTCTACAAAATGTAAACCCAAAAGACACCATCATATGAGAGCTCAAAGTTGAACAATATAAATAAGATTCTGTTACCAAAGGGTATGAATTTACAGCAATGTTCGCCCACCACTTCGTACGCCCTGTCGTTGAACACCGGGTTTGAAAAATTGACGACAACCCGACGGCCACTAACTATCATATTCTTGTGGATGTTAGCGAAGGACAAACACGTCGACAAATACAGACAATTGTGGTATAAGAGAGGCTTTGATGTGTTGACTGTGAGGACATCACCGTTTGATCTGTTGGTGCCTCCGCTCGGCGGTCAAGTGGTGGCCAAGAATGTGGTTAAAAGTATGGCTCAACTATACTCACAATACAACGAGATTGTGATCCACGCCTTCTCTGTCGGCGGCTATCAGTTTGGGCTAACTTTAAATGAATTGACATCACATGAGGAAAACAAACCCCTATTAAACCAAATCAAAGGCGTTGTATTGGATTCAATGGTTTATAGGGATGACTGCCCACCCGGACTGTCCCGAGCCGTCACATTGAATCCGGTCGTCCAGCCGGCCATTGAAGCCTCTATTGCTTTCTTTCTAAAGTCCTTTAAAAATATAGTCAAATACTATGACATCTGTGAGAGGATGTACTTCCATCCGGCCCTCAAATACTCTGGTAATTAAAATAAATATCATGTTTTTTATAATAAATTTTTTGGTGATAATTAACAGCTTAAATGATGTTTCTTTAGGGATGTTTTTCTACTCCCGAGACGATGTGGTCTCTAGTGTTAAGTCAAATGAGCGATTGGTCAACACATGGATTAGAAGCGGCCATAATGTGCGGCACAAGTGTTGGGACCGATCGACACATGTCCTCCACTATCGCGACCATAAGACTGAATACGAGCACGAATTGGACACTTTCATCAAGAGTTTGAATCTTAGAGACACTAA